ATTTGTCCTTGGGGAAGGATTTGGTAAATTATGTTCGATAGGTCTATTATCAGATGGATTCGTATTTCCACCCAAATTCATACCCTGTACCATCGATATTAGTTCATTCCTAATGAATTCAGTCATCTCACTCCGAAATGAAACCATTGAATTGGATACAATTTGTCGAATATCTGGTTGATCATTGCCACTAGTAGTGTTAGTATTTTCGTTACTATCAGTATGTTGTTGTCTTCGTCGTTGTCGTCCCTGATTTTGTTCAGGAGTCCTATCAGATTCCCCAATTGGAATCGTAAAACTACAATTTGCCGGCTGTTCCAAACGCAACAGATTTTCCTGGCTTCTTGTAATTGGCATATTTAAACAATTGTAAAAAAAATCCAAAGAGTAGCTAAAGATATTTCACTACTTAGTTAAGGTTTTATTAGGTAGTCCAAATACAAAAATTAAACAAAACATATCCCCAAAAAAAATAAAAAAAACGAAAATTAAAATAAAATTGAGTAAAGTAACCAGGTGATAATTACTAAAAATCTCAACTCTTGACGGAAATACGATGAGTTTATTGTAAGAGTATGATGTCAGAAATAATCCAAAAAAAATCAAAAATCTCAATTACACATTAACCCAAAGCAAAAAATTAAAAAAAAAATAACATAAAAACAGTAATCAAAACAAAAATATCAGAAGTAATATCGTAAGTAAAATTCCGACATAAAATCAGAATTGAAAATCTCAACAACATTTGATACTCCTATGTAAATGTCCCAGTAAACATTTGGTTTAAATTTTCTCAAAAATTGAAAAAATTAAAAAATCCAGAAATGATAAAATAAGACAGTAAAAAGAAAACAAAAAAAAAATATATAAAAAATAGTCGACAACACGGAAAAACAAAGATATTATTTGTGAAATCATCAGCGAAAGTTATGGTGAAATTATGAGAATTAAAAAGGTTAACAATTTCTCGTCAAAATGTTCCTGCTGATGCCCCACGTTGGGCGCCATTTAAATTTATGTAACGAACTTAAACCCCGAAAGGCCCTAATTCTCAAAAGACAGTGCTACCTGATGTACCGGCCGTGCTCGTGGATATTGGGTGAGGTTCTTGTCCCTATCAAATTAGTAGCATTCATTACACAATATTCAAAAATAGGTAGCATTTAGACCAAATCGACTAATTAAAAATAAAAAAAAAAAAAACAAAACAGGAAAACAAAATTAGCTAAATAAAATATAATGATGAGGAAGTTTAGTTGAGGAGGAAAAGGTGTTGTTTTAACCTCCTATAATTCTATACCCACCCGTCCTTGCTATCTATCTTCATCATTCTTAAATAGCCCTAAAATGAACTACCTATAAAAGGACCTTAACCTTTCATGAAATACAAATTACAAATTTAACAATTCATGTTGAAAAATAACATAAAGTTAAGTTTTATTATATATTTAATAGTCAAAACTAAACTCATTATCATATAATTTCCAATATTTATCTCTTAATTAAGTTAATTAATAAAATAAAAACAAAATATAAGAAAAATTATAAAAAAATAATGTAAATAACAGTGTTATTGTTTCCATTTTAAAACTGTCAAATTAATAGATACTATTATTCATGTTATTAACACTCAAGGTCGTTTGATATATTCATCAAATAACAGAAAGTAAACTTAAAAAAAATCAAACTGTGTTATATTAAACAGAAAAACAAAACTTATGTTAAGCAAAGATTAACAGAAATAAACATCAATCAATTTTACATAGAAATCTAATTAAAGAATATGGTTAATAACATAGAAACCAATTTGTGTTAATGGTTAACAGTAAAAACTAATGTTAATTATTAACATGAATCAATCTATGTTAATAATTAACATACCAAATTAGGTTAACAGAAAAATTTTTATGTTAAAATATTGAAACTTACAAATATAAAAACAAAATTATGTTATTAACATACATATGTATGAGTATTCAAAATATTTAACATTTTTGAAAGTTGTGTATTTTGGCAATTAAAAGTAAATTTATCACGAAATTTATGTTTGATGTGGAGTGAAATAAAAATCTAAATATTATAACTCACCAATATTTACATCCCACGAAGAGTTACAGGCCTGTTGTCTCTTGGGTTACTTCGAGTTGCTTAAAGGTTTGATATACTATAAAAATTTCACTCAGTGTTGTGTAGAAATGTAAAAAATAGTGTTTAACATAAACAGTTGGATTTTCTAAATCTTTTAGTATTTAACGCTTAACAGAAACGAAAATAATGTTAATAACAAAACTATTTGACAAATATTAATGTAACATTTTAACAGTGTATATAGTGATGAAAAATATAAAAAAAAAAAATTAAAATAATTGAACAGATGTTAAACAAAAATTAAGTTACATTTGACAGTTTAAGAAATTATTAATGAAAATTAAATTAATTAAATGTGAAACAAAAACAAAATTCATGTTAATTCCAGCAATTAATAATTAAATGAGATGAAATTTTTTTAAAAATGTGTCAAATCTGGTTTGTTTAGGTATTAAATTGGTAGCTCCTGATCTATACTACATAGATCAGGTGATTTTACGTCGATATAGTTTACATATTAATGAGTTCAGGATAACGTCAGGTTATAATTTCAGAAAACAAAATTTGAACTGCCAATTTAGCAAAATTTCGACAGAAAGTCACTCAAAAATTTATAAAAACTGGATATTTTAGTTAAAATTATAGTTAACTGCAATTAGGTTTGGAGATTTTTTCAAATAAATTGGGAACAAAGACTTTGTATCTCAATCAATGGCCGTTGTTTCAAATTTTAGTCTTGTAGATGTTATGATTCTTGAGAGGTCTGGATTAGGTAACGAATATTTTATATCTGTCTGCAAACAAAACGTTTTACAGGATTTACAGGATACTTTTGGTCCCAAATTTAAACGCAATCCAGGTCCTTGTACCAAACAAGGACATAGGACCTGGTTAAATAAACAAAAGAAGACCTACAAAAGAAGTTTTGATTCTATAAAAAAAACTAAATGTAAATTTCACTATATTTACCAAATTTCCAATAGTCCAATAGATCCAAAAATTTTATCAAAAGATTTCAGGACCATTAAAAAAAACAAAATTCAATTTTCCCTTCTCTCGTCACAAAAAAAAAATCCGCACAAATGAAGCGTTCAATACAATGAAAATTTTCAAATTATTCAAAAAACATATTTTTAAAACAATTACGGAAAATTATAGAACAAAATTTTCAAGGCTTATGTGTTAGAATAAAAATTTTCAATTCAAAAACAGAACTTTGTCCAATACCAAAAGAAAATAGAATAAAAATATGGCCTCACACCATCATTTGGTTGACAGACGGGCATTTCCAAATTGTCTAAAAATGTTGCTGTCCAATTGGTAAATTGTCAAATATTGCCTAGATTTGAGTTTTTTTCCAAAATATAATCGTTTAAAATTTTTCTGGGTTTTTTTACAAATTTGTAAATGCTGAAATTATTCTTTCTGGATTTTATTTTAAAAGAAAACATAATTAGTTTTCGTTATCAACCTAAAACAAGTAAGAAAGTATAGTCGGGCGTGGCCGACCATACGATACCCTACACCAGGCTTTATATGGGTGCTAGGGGCAAATATGGACCAAGCCCGATAAAATTTTGTGAATATATTTATATTTACATAATATTTTATTGTGCTGAATTTCATCGCGATATTTGTGTTTATAAGTTAATTTGGGACATTCAAGTAATTTTCTGAAGGGGACTTTGTATGGGAGCTAGGGTCAAATGTGGCCCGATCTTTATGAAATTTGGTAGGGTCATCAAGACTTTTATAAAACTTAGTTGTGCCGTATTTTATCGATATATCTGTATATTTAACATAATTGTGAGCTCAGAAGCCCTTTTCGGGGGGTTCTGTTCTATGGGGGCTAGGTGAAATAATGGACCGATTTTAACCATTTTCAATAGGGTTCGTCCTTGGATCAAATAAAACGTGCGTGCCAAATTTCATCCAATTATCTTGAAAATTGCGACCTGTACCTTGCGCACAAGGTTTACATGGACAGCAAGCCAGCCAGACGGACATAGCTTAATCGACTCAGAAAACGATTCTAAGCCGATTGGTATACTTTAAGGTCTAGGACGAATATTTTGTATGTTACAAACATCAGCACAAATCCAATATACCCTCCCCACTAAAGTGGTGTAGGGTATAATTAAAGAAAAAGCTTTATCTGAGAAAAAATTTGTTAACAATCAACTTATTGTTGGCTTAAAGAAGGGTCGAGCCTACAATAAAATTCTTATATTTGTCAATGGTTTATTGAAGGTATTTTAAGCTATTTGACGTTTATGAATACAATTTTCGTGTATTTTGTCTGAAATTGGTTAATAAACCTAAAATAAGTTTTTATGAATATAGCCGTATATTTATACCCTTCACCTTCGTGAGAAGGGTATATATAAGTTTATCATACCGTTTGTAATTTCCACAATATAATTTTCCGGCCCCATAAAGTATATATATTCTGGATACTTATAGATAGCGATTAAATCATGTCCGTCTGTCCGTCTGTCTGTTGAAACCAATTTTCTGAAGACCCAGATATCTTCGGGATCCAAGTCTTCTTCCAAGTTCCGGTACCCGAAACATGACAGAATCAAAGAAGTTGCTAGTGGTGCAGAAAAACATGCATCACTGTGAAGCAGCTTCAGCCGATTTAGTAACCTTCCTCATCGATTCACAGACGGACGTGGCCCTTATCCAGGAACCTTGGATTAACAACAATAAGGTTCTTGGTTTAAGGGTCAAAGGTTACACCTTATTTGTCCCGTCTTCTGAGGACAAGGTAAGGACTTGTATCCTGGCAAAGAATGAATTAGGTTTTCTCATTTCTCATTCTTTTAGGAGCGGTGATATAACCGTAATAAACAGAGAAGCTAAAGGTAGGCGTACGCTCGCACTGGCTTCGGTGTATATGCCGTACGAGGCGTCTGACCCACCCGGCTCGGAGGTGCGTGAGCTGACGGCGTATGCGAGAAGAAAAAGTGCGATCCTTGTGATGTGCTGTGATGCCAATGCTCATCATTGCCAATGGGTCAGCAAGGACATCAACAAAAGAGGTGAGTTAATGTTTGATTTTATAACTGATAATAATCTCATCATCTGTAACAAGGGCGATACGCCGACGTTCAGGAACAAAGGGAGGCAGTTATAGATTTAACTTTAATTAACCGTTTAGAAGATCTCGTTAGGGATTGGAAGGTTGCAACGGATTGTTCATTTTCGGACCATAGTCGCATTACCTTCACACTGGATTTTGCCTTGGCTAGGAGTGCACCTTTTAGGGATCCTAGGAAAACAAATTGGGGAACCTTTAATGATAGGGTAGAGTCTGGGTTGGCACAACGGGCCTTGTGCGATTTGCTGCCAACTGATTTGGAGAGGGTTGTGAACGAGTTCACAGACCTACTTAAGGGAAGCTATGAGCTATCTTGTCCGGTTACTTTCCCGGGCAAAAGAGAGCAACCTAAGTGGTGGACCAAGGAACTTAGAATTCAAAGGTCGGAGTTCAGGACTTCCTGGTGAGATGGATAGTCTGCATGCTTAGCAGTAGAATTATTAACTCGACCCTAGGGGATCATTGCATTAGGACAAGGGTTACCAGGGGGACACCACAGGGGGTGTTTTATCTCCTCTTCTGTGGCTACTAGCGGTAAACGGTATCCTAAGGCTATTTGAATCTAAGGGTAGGAAGATAGTTGCCTATGCGGACGACGTGGTGATACTGGTCAAAGGAAAATTTCTATCCACGATCAGTGTCATCATGGAGACTGCACTAGGTGAACTCTCGTTATGGGCGAAAGATAAAGGACTGGGCGTTAATCCTTGTAAAACGGAACTGGTACTATTTACCAGAAGGTATAAGGTGGACAATTTCAGATTGCCAAAGTTAGATGGCGTCGAATTAGGTTTATCTAGAGGAGCTAAGTATTTAGGGATTTTCCTTGATAGCAAGCTGTCATGGAAGGAGAATACTCAGGAAAGAATGAAAAAAGGTCTCAATGCCTACTACACATGCAGGAATTCCATAGGAAAGAATTGGGGTCTGCCACCTGATATGGTTAATTGGATTTACACATCGGTTGTCAGGCCTATTCTAACTTATGGTTGCATTGTCTGGTGGGAGGCATTGAGAAAGGACAGTTACAGGAAGTTGCTCAATAAAGCTCAAAGGTGTGCCTCTACTGGCATTACTAGTGCCATTAGAAGTACTCCACAAGCGGCTTGAACATCATCCTGAACCTTTCACCTATAGAACATTTTGTAGCAGGTGTGGCGGTTAGGAATCTACTAAGACTCTACGAGTCTTCGTTAGTCAAACCTTCGCGCGACAATCATACAAAAATTTTGTACGAAGTAAGTCTGCTTGATCAGGGTAATTCCCTTCGCGAAATTACGGATTATGATATCACGACTCTAGACTTCGGGGAAACACCTTTGATAGAATTTCCAACTAGGGATGATTGGCTTGTATCCGATAGACTGTTTGGTGGGTGTGCAGTTTTCACTGACGGGTCCAAGATGGATACCGGCACGGGTGCCGGATTGTCACACGGTACATTCGCACCTAGTTGTAGATTGTAGGAATGCCCTTAGGGACATTATGAGACTGTTTGTCATTAGATTGTGTTGGGTGTCAGTGCACTGTAATGTGCATGGTAATGAGGTTGCGAACGAACTAGCTAGATGACAGGATGGTAAAACCACCCAGTTGTCGCTATAATAGTTTAATATTGGAAAGAATACGTGATATCATTAACCAGTCCTGGAATAGTAGATTGGATTGCAAAATATCAAAGGCCCTGTGGCCAAAACTTGATATGGGTGCTACCAAAATACTTATAGGATTGGATAGACGCAGTCTAAGGGTTCTGATAGGGATTCTAACTGGACATTGCTCAGTTAGAGCATTTGTCAGTAAGTGGGACAGTATACCGTATACCGGACTATTGCAGGTTATGCGAAGATGAGGAGGAAGTAGAGACGATCGAGCATATTATTTGCCAATGTCCTAGGATACAGAACCTCAGGCTGAAATGGCTAGGAAATAGGTTCCATGGCGAACTGGGGGAAATTGCGGGACTTAACCCTCGCAGTCTACTAGGTTTTGTCAAGGGAATTAGTCACTTCTTTGACTGTGCTTTATAGGGGGACATGGATTTTCTCTATTATATATAATTATTTACTTATCTATTTAATTATTTATTTATTTAATTACACTATACAACAAAATCAAATTTTTTTCAAAATTACAATGTCCGACCTATAAATTTTGATAGAGGAGACAAAAAAACAAGACACGTGTATCGGCGTCTTGAAAGTTTACATCTGAATTTCATTTGAGGGGGGGTTTAAGTTTTCCAACTCTGGCACATTCTTATTGTTAATCGGCATAAGAAACCATGTGACCCTTACATTTAAGGTATAAAATTTGTTCACTAAATTTATGTAAAATATTACGGAGAACATTTTTGTAGAACATGTTAATTAATTAAGGGTTCTGATAGGGATTCTAACTGGACATTGCTCAGTTAGAGCATTTGTCAATAAGTGGGACAGTATACCGTATACCGGACTATTGCAGGTTATGCGAAGATGAGGAGGAAGTAGAGACGATCGAGCATATTATTTGCCAATGTCCTAGGATACAGAACCTCAGGCTGAAATGGCTAGGGAATAGGTTCCATGGCGAACTGGGGGAAATTGCGGGACTTAACCCTCGCAGTCTACTAGGTTTTGTCAAGGGAATTAGTCACTTCTTTGACTGTGCTTTATAGGGGGACATGGATTTTCTCTATTATATATAATTATTTACTTATCTATTTAATTATTTATTTATTTAATTACACTATACAACAAAATCAAATTTTTTTCAAAATTACAAGGTCCGACCTATAAATTTTGATAGAGGAGACAAAAAAACAAGACACGTGTATCGGCGTCTTGAAAGTTTACATCTGAATTTCATTTGAGGGGGGGTTTAAATTTTCCAACTCTGGCACATTCTTATTGTTAATCGGCATAAGAAACCATGTGAGCCTTACATTTAAGGTATAAAATTTGTTCACTAAATTTATGTAAAATATTACGGAGAACATTTTTGTAGAACATGTTAATTAATTATCTATTCATCTATCCTCTTTACCTATCTTCTTTCATTCTTGTATTGTTGTAGTGTTTTGGCATCTCTGTTTTGAATCTTCACTTCTTGAAGGGAATCACAATGGACCTTATGGTCTCCGAGTGGATATACACCGTTTTTATGGTGTATAACACTTCTTAACCTAACCTAAGCTAACCTAAGTCTTCAATAATTCTATCAGGCATGCTTTCAAGAAGTTTCCTATTTAAAATCAGCAAAATCGGTCCATAAATAACGGAGATATGAGCAAAAATCCGAGACAACCTCTGAAAATTTCATCAAAAAAGCAACAACAATACATTTTTTGTCAACACTAGGGGCGTGATGCAATTTATAAATAAAATGCGTATTGTTTTTGGAATAATTAAAAAATGTAAATGTTAGAAAAAATTAAAAATGACATAATGGTGAAGGGTATATAAGATTCGGCACAGCCGAATATAGCACTCTTACTTGTTTTATATTAAGAATTTCATTTATAATTAAAATTTTAAAAATTATGCATTACTATGAATCGTTTCTTTTATTTTTTCCAATGCCAAATTTCTTAATTACCAATAAAACTACTTATACATAAATGAAATTCTTAATATACATACTTTTTACTTTACATTTTATGATGTTTGTTTTTTTCACCGTTTAATTTGCCGTATGGTTCCTTACAGCTGATTCAGAGGTCCCGCATTTAAAATTTCTTAAATAAAATGAACCGATAGTGAAGAAATTTATTTGCATTGTTGAATTTTGTATAAAACTAGCTATACCCTGTGTGCTTTGCTACCCTAAAAGCAATATAAATAAAAACAAGTATGAATATATAGTCGAGCATGGCCGATCCTATGACAGCCTACACCAGTCAGTATGTTTTTAAATGTGGATTATTTTTTTTAAATAATAAAGCATTTAGTTTGTTTTTTACCTTAATTAATTTACCTTAATTAATATTTTTACTTATTATTGGCAAAAAAGAGCTTTTATACAAGAGGGCTCATAGGGGAGTAGGGGTAAATTTGGGCCTATCCTTAAAAAAGTTGGTAGAGGAATTCACGTCTACTTCAAAGTTATTTATGTAGAATTTAAGTCATTAGTGTTTGTAAGTGAATTTTGAACTTCAAGTCATATTCTGAACAAAGTAAAAATTTAAACAAATTTGCTTGTTTCTGGAAATAGAGATTTCATATTTTATTGCGGTATATAACAATTTTTGAACACTTGCTACTTTCAATTTTAAAAACTTTGTCAGTTTCTTTTTATTGGTAGAAAAATGTAATTTTTAATTTTTGGGCGAATTTTTCCAGTACAAATATTTAAATAATTTTTTGTCTTTAAAACATTTAAAATTGTCGTTTATCATTATCTTAAGGCAAAAAAATCAAAGTTTAAAAAAATATTATATAAATAAACCTCTAAGAAATCCGAAAAATTAGTAATTCATACGTATAGTATATAAAAAGTGTGCAATGAACAAAAATTTTAAAAAGTGAAATTTTAAAAAAAAATCGTCAAAAAATGGCGTCTTGCGCAACATTTTTTTGTTCGTGAATGTAGATAATTCAAATTATTTGAACATTAATATATGAGATATACATATATAAAATAACTGAAAGTAGTAGTTGATCATATCTTTCAAATAAAAAAATCAATATAAAACCTCTATTCTTCTCTATACTTCTTTGCAATTTTCATTTGTTTTTTCATCTAAATCTAACATAAAATAATCTTCGTCATCATTATTACTTAAAAATTCTTGCCTGTAATGACCCCAAGCGTTTATTATCTAAATAACTTAAACTAATTTTATTTAAATGTGCCGTATATAACACATGTAATTTAGATTTAAATACAAACATATTACCATAATAAATTTTTTTGATAAATAAAAAAATTTTATAGCCTGATAGATTTAAATTTCTAACT